CGATGTGAGGAAGATAAAGTTTTTGACATTTCGAAATCGAGCTCTTCGCCATTCATCGTTGTGAACCGAGCTTGGTAAGTGTCTCAAAACTCCTTAAAATAACTGTATGAATTTGTTTTTTAAAAATTCATACCCTGTACGATACCGCACACTCCCCCACTCGCCGCCTTCTACGCATGGGGAAGTCTCACCACCTGGTGGTTTCTAGATCCTGCCCGAACCCGACCCGCCTACCTGACCCGATCCAACATGAACCGTTGCCCGTTGATCATTGACTTTAACGTAAAAAGTCAACATTTTTGAAAAGTCATATTTTATTTTTTTAAATGTTCTGAGTCCGATTCGGAACTCTGTTTTTTCAAATTCTTAATTGAAAAACCCCAAATTGAGCTTGTTAATCCAAAAATGCTTGGTGTTTTTAACATTTTTGCTTAATTTTTAGGATTTGATTATAGAATTGATTCGAGAATATATTTTTATAAAGATACTCGTGTTTCACCCGACCAAGGGTCTATTAGATCTGGTGTTTCCCGTTCGTCAGACCTGCTAGATCCGCGTTCTACGAGAGTTACCCGTAGGTTTCCATAAATTATTTACATAAAGGTTAATATTATTCATATTAGGATTCCGATATGGATTTTCTGATTCGTAGGATCTAGTGTTGCAGCTGATCGTGATCGATAAACTCAATAGTAGGCTTCCCTATCAGACTACTCAGACTGATACAAGTGTGTTTCCTGTTGGTGTTACATTATTGTTTTCAACTATCTGTCTGAACTGTTTTATATATATATTTCTGATAATACTAAATATTTTTAAGACACAATACTTGATTTTCTAAACACGGTTTATCTGATATCTGATTTAATGTATTTTTCTGACATGATCTCTAGATTACCGTATTTTCGTATCTGGTTTCTAAAAATGAAATATTTTTTGTATTTTAATGGTTTAAACTATTGTTTTCATTCGACTACATACATGTTATTTCTATCATTGGGGGTTTTATTGGAGTAAGTATCTCAGGCCTAGTCTATGACTTGAAATACCTTACCACTTTCTGCAGGCTCTTCTACTTTGTGCACAGGATAAGACGTTATCGCAGGCTCCTTTGCTTTGTACACAGGGTAAGCCCTTACTGGTGTACAAGTGGGTGTATGGTTCTGGGGAACCTAACCTACACATTTTGGTGATCGGACGGGGGTAGTGCTTATGTTTTTAAAGCATGTTACTAAGGTATTTTATTTGTATGTTTTTATACACCATAAGGAACTGAGCTTTTTAGATTATTCTGTAAATTTTAACATTTTCAGATAATAGCATACTAGGCTAGCAGACTTTGCATCAGGAGGATTGAATACTCCTACTTTTGTACTATTGTATATCTCAATATTCCTTTGTTATACTTTGGTGACACATGTTTTTCTACCGTCTTGATATATATGTATTATTGATATTTAATTATGTAAATGTTTTATACGATTTTCTGATATATATATATATATATATATATATATATATATATATATATATATATATATATATATATATATATATATATATATATATGTTTATCGTATGAATCCTTATTATGGATAAATTTCATATTATACTATTATATGGATTTTAACGTTGTTTTAAATATAAAAAGAATCTCTGAATGCGATATGTGACCGCTTAGATTTGGGCATAACGTTCAGGCTGGGTCAAGGGGGTTACACTGAATCTTTATTTGGTTGTGATCTTTCAAGAAGATAATTTTTTTTGTCTTAAAAACTCTTTTATGAGGATAAGAGTAATAATTATTTCTTGGAGATCACTACCTTTTTATAGAGATTTAATATTAGGTCAATAATTTAAATATGTATAATTCTACCCCTCATCAAATTATAACTACAACTTATGGTATCTACACCTTAATTTCATGTCATTTTTAATACCTATTACACATGTAGCATAGTTGGTCAATTAATTTTGTGTTATATTTTATGATAGCATTGTACATTACACATGTGTCCACAATTATGGATTTTAATCCAACATTTTTGGCACTCCGTTTTTTGTTACTAGTATTGTCCCTTTGTTTACCTTTATCACTACTCTCCACTAATGTTTTCGTGGCTGGTTTCACAAGGCAAGCGAGGGCTTGAGATCCATTCACGGTCATGTCTTCCATTGTGATAGCTAGGGGTCTTTTAGGCTTCTTCTATCATGGTTTGGACTAAGGCAGTAACATTATGCATTTCCTTGTCTTTACTTCTAGTCTTTGTGTTAGTATCATCAAGGTTTGGCCTCGATTTCTTATCCACAAAAATGACACCCTTCTTACGCTCAACTTTAGAATCTGTATTTTTTAATTGATTGAACTTTGAGCCAGTCTTAGTCTTGTGGTTGGTTGCTTGTATCATTAGTCTTAGTTGGGCAGGTTTCTACATTATGTCCGATGACACCGTAACTGTGGCAGAAGGAGGGAAGTCATTCGTATTTGATCAGGCAAATTCTTGGTTGGCCATCAACCTTAACTCCAAGTTTGATGCATCTCCTTAATGGCAATACTGTTAAGTTCTACGCGTATCCAGAGAAAATCTACAAGTCTTTCTTCTCTTTCACGTAGGTTAACAGCCATGACCTTCCCAATGGCATTACCGATTTTCTCCCCCATTTCTCGGCTCATCCACCCCAAAGGAATGTTAAAGATCCTTACCCATACTAGGAGCGGTGAGAAGTCATATTGATCTATGCTAAGGTGGAACTCGAAATCCTTCAGTTCTAAAAGTTCACCATAAAAACTCCATGGAGTTCTTCTCATGACCGCATGCTTCTCTTCAAGCGGTGAGAACTTGAACATGAAGATGTTTTGTTTCAAACATGAAACTTCACAGAGCTTACTTAGTCCCCAAATCGTTCGAAAAACCTTCACCACTACCTCCCTATCGTCGAGTTTGTTAGAGATAATTTTAGCAACCGTCCATTACTTCATTTCCTCAATTAAGTGGGTTTCTTCTACCGTCAGAGTTTTTGATGACCAGGGCCTTAGTTTCGGTGAACTTGAGATTGCCAAGCATAGAGAGAACTTCATCTGCCATATTTGGTATGGTAGGGCAAGTAGGGAGGGGTTGCATTGGAAGGACTTGAGCAAGGATATTCCCACGAGTGATAATATAATGTAAAAGACCTAATCTCTTAAGAGACTACTTAGATCGGTAGCTTGGCCGGTGAACCTGCAATCGTAACCAGTAGTGGCGCTCCCTATACCCAAGCTCAAACCAGTAGTTAAACATATGGAGCGAATGATATGTCCAAAAGGTGATGAAGAAAGTCGTGAATAAACCATAGTCAAACCAGGAAATTCTGACCATGCAGCTAGGAACATTCTCCAAAGTGGACACGGTAGAAAAAGAGATTACTGTAGCATGCAAGACCCGTAAAGTTTTTTTTTTTTTGCATTTTTGGGGAAGGATACAGAAGGAGCTTCACTTTTGAAAGGTTGGAATCGATATGACCATCCTTCGTCAGAAGGGTTCCATGGAGTTGTTTAAGCCAAAACATATTTATGTGAGGGGGTTAACAAAATCCAGTATATGTCCCTGTGGCAGGTCCATAATATCCAGCGAGTAACTGATGTTAGGTTGGTTAGGGCGATTTTGACCCTGTCGAAGTTTCCCAAATGGTTGATAGAAAACTCTTAAGGTTGACTCAAAATCAGAGAAAAGCCTCTTCCAAAAGATATTTTCATCTGTCACAATGGATAACTTGTTCCAACATCTTATGTAGGCATATCCTGAAGGATCTGGGCGCATGGGTTCCACGCCATGCATGGCTCTGCATGTGTTCTGTAAATCCGTTTGGTTCTCCCCGTCAATACTCAAATGCTACTTTCGGTTATGTGTTGGCCAACTACCATCTTCACTGAACTCGTAGTTATGAAAATATATTTTTCTTGTAGTAGAACTTTGTGGCTGTCATATATCTCTCAGCCATCTATCAGCCCCCATCTTACTACTTCTTTAGTTGTATCTCGAATACCAGTGGCAGCCCTGACTAAAGGTTCCTTCTTTACCTATATAAGATTGTGAGCTATGTAGCTGCGTTGGGGAACGAGTGATGGTTTGTAAGAGTTATTCCATATTAGATCCTTCTAAGGTTGTCAACTTCCCAAATATCCAAGGTCCTTGTTGGCTTCTATTTCTTCGTTTTTTTTCGTTCCCGATGCCGCTCAATTCTTGTTCCACTCTCTTTCCATCCTCCAATTATGAACCATCAAAAGTAACTCTGCAAAGAGAAGAAAATAAAAGCATTAAACCACGGAAAACACCTTGAATTTGATTGGGATACCAAACTTGACGGCTAAGGCACCTCCCTCTACAGATGTCCCTCTTCCAGTGAGAGAAATGATACCCAAAAACATGACCATTGTAAAGACCTATAATCACCGACTGGAGACCTGCCAGTGGACCACTGGCTCCAAAGAGAACTTCGTTAAAACACAACTCCTCTAGTTGAAAGATAATCCCCATTTCCTTATCTGTTGTCGAAGGATTCAAAAGAGAACCGAGAGGGTTTTACCTCACTGGAATCCATTTGTTTTAGTGATAAAAATGAATAATAAATAAGTCATGTGATTAAAATATCAAGATTTGTAACTTTAGTGATAAAAACGAAAAATAAATAAGTTAGATGATTAAAATGAAAATACACTAATAATTGGATGACTATTAAAGTAGTTTACCAATAAAAGGGAATAAAAAATAAAGAAGAGTTAGTGGGGTTTGGATGGCTGGTTTTCAATTTCCTCATTTACTATTTATTGTTATTTAATTTATATTTTTTTTGTGGAGAAGAGAAAAGAACGCTCATTCACTTTTATATATATAAAAAACACAAAAAAATATATATTTTTAAGAAAATATTTCCACGAAGAAGAGTTCTTTTTAGTATTTTGTTTCGTCTCTAAAAGGGGTAACCGTTTTTTAATATATATATTTTTGGTTTTCTGTTGGGAGAGAGTGTGTTTTGAGGTAAGAGTGACAGCGTGGGTTGTGAGTGGGGAATGGGAATTCCACGTGGAGGTCGTGCTTACGTGACAGTCGTGGTGATGGAAGAAGACGACTTCTGAATGGAATTCTCATTCGGTGCCGGAATTCTCATGTCCCGAACTGCAGCAACGGGGACTGAAGGAACCTCGTTTTCACCCTCCTTGAATCCAGGCATTCTTTTATTTTTCAGTTTTATTTTATTATTTTTCGTTTTCTATTTTGTGAAACTCAAAATGCTGTTTGTTGATTATTTTTCCTATATTGATTTGTCCCTTTTGTGGTGAACTCTGGTTTGATCATCGTTAAAGATAGTCATTTTTCTTATGTTATCTTAAATAAAATATTGATGGAATTTTAATAAGTGATCATAAATTCTAAATTGTGTTTCAGAAAAAATAAATAATGAAATGTGAGATTCCACCGCCTTAATATGTTTAAATCAAATTCGAGGTTCCAGGAAATAAAGCGATATTGAAATTGTGTTATAACTTTCTTTTCTTTTTTATTATTGTTTTTAATTTTTCGCATAAGAACTTCTAGGAAACTGATTAAGCTTAATTATTACTTTCTTTAGGATTGAGCTCTATTAGATTATTGCTTTTACGACTTCAACTTTCAAACTGATCATTTTTTTGGAAAAGCAAATTGATAGAAAGGAAAAAAATGGTTGATAACCAAATTTTGATTAAATTGCTGTGTATACAGATGGTTTTTCTCCTTTTTTTTTTATTAAAAAACTTGCCTCTATGTCTTTTAATGCATTTGATTTGATAATGACAAAATCTGAGCTGCATTAATTTTCTCTTCATGAAATTATGAATTGTTCTGTTCTTCAAATGTAATTCAGGTGGATATGGATGCCTCTACATGTTTTTTTTTAAAGAAGGTATTTTGTATTAAGGAAAACAAAGTACACCACACAAGGATCTCATTAAAAAACCTCCTTAATCCTAAATGGAGGAAAAAGAGTATTCCTTGAATGGTGAAGAGAAAATACACATAACACACTTACAACATTCAGCCAACTGAAAAAGACCACCACAGACAAACCGACAATATGAATATAGTATACACTGAGAAACATACACAGACAAAAATAAAACCCGACCCCATACCATGACCAAGGCCAATGCACTAAGAAAAAATAAACCCACTTTTTGACTCTAATCCACTAAAACATAGCCTTGGAGCTCAATATATAACATGCAGTCTCCCGACAACCTCCTGATTTCCCATAAAAGGAATAGCACGCGAGAACCCTCATGACAGAGCACCATCACTGACAACCTACTTGTATCCCAAGACAATACTTACCCGGGAGCTCAAACACCCAAACTTTGAATCACCACCCGTCGAAGCTGAGACAACGACGCCCACTGCCTCACCCAGTCAATGAAGCTCAAACCAGCTGTCCCAATGCATCACTTGTGATACGCAACGAAAAAATCACAAACACCCAAACTATGGAAACAGCATCACAGACGTTTCCCCCTCATTTCAAAACCTAACTACAAGAGCAGCTAACACACATCACCCAGCTCCCCAAACTACGAAGGATCGAAAAAAAAAATTATATCGCAAAGACGACAATGCAATACATAAACGCAGGATCGAACATTGGACAACCTCTATAAGCAACACCAAATGTAGCAGTAGCACACAATCAAACACGGCAGAACACTAAGGCACAAAACAGACATCACCCACCAGCATAGGCACTGTACACCGCCCAAAACAGCAAACGGTGAAGTGAGGAAAACCACCAGAAAACAACTTGGCAACCAATAAACTTGAGCCACATCAATTCAGACTAACATTAAAAAAAACCTACTAACGACCTTACACTAAAAAACCATATAAAAATCTACTCCAGCTCCTCTAAAAACAACTGCAAAAACCTCCCTAACTCCTGACAGGCACGCACCAAGCTCAAACAATTATGAAGACGCTAGAACCTTGAGAACATCAAGTGCAGAACCAACATCATTAACGAAGGAAGACCTGAAACACTCTCCCTCAAATTGAAATTTTCAAAAGAGCAAAAACTGGATCACTATGGCATTTACACAAGCATCTTCCATGCAGTTATATCTATCACAATCTGACTCCAAGAACTGACTGGAAACCCACACATAATCTCAAAAACTTTGAAATTAATTTCATAAGAGAACTAATACTCGAGCACGAAACAACACTCGATAAGAAACAAGAATAAATCGCATCTGGAAGAGAGAGAATCGATCTCACCAAGCTAGAAGGGAGCACCCAATCAATCGATAGGCAAAATAGGGACGAATGCCAACGAACCCTAACTCCAAAAAGACCAGAACGGGGCAGACCAATCCCTTAATCAAAGAACATGAAAAAGGATTCAACGTCATTGTGTAGGGCTTTTGAGGTCTTGAGAGAAGCGGTCGAAGGAGAACGAAAAGCAGCAAGAAAGAGGTGGAGGCGGCTACCGCCTCGCGAAAGAGGCAGCCACTTAAATCACTGTTAGATTGGGAATTATATAATTTTTATGGTTTGTTCTCCATTTTCTCCTTGACTGGTTGTGGAAATGCAATTAGGCTCTATAGTGTCAACAGGTCTAAACTAAATAATAAATTCTCTAATTTGTGCTGAAATTTACGAGTAAAAGTTTGGTACTTTTGCCTGATGTTTTGTCATAAAATCAAGGTGGCTACATGGTTGCGAGAAAAAAAGTTACTTTTGTAGTTTCTAATTTCCTTTTATAAGTGAACATATGATCTTTCTTTATTATTATTATTTGAAAGAAGTTGAGGTCATAATCAAATATACTTAGATTTCTCCTTGTTTTTGGTGTTAAATATCATTTATATGAAACAATGTTCATCAAGCTGGAAGAGGGACATATAACTTAGAGTTGTCATTCTCCAATGAGTTCATTTGGTTTGTGATAGACATAAAAGAGAAGAAACATAAACCTTTGGTCTCACCATTGCATTATTTTAACGTTTAGGGAAGGTAAAGAAAGGGGAGAGAATGGGTGGAGGGAGAAGTTTGAGGAGAAGAGGGGGGACAGAGTGGGTAAGGTTCCTTTTGCTTGGATTTCTTAAAAAAGATACAACGTGAAGGAACGAGTAAGTTCCCATAGTAACAATGAAATGATAGCTTATAATGTTTCTTTCATTACTACATGGTTTACCTGTTAAAATGGAACTGTAGTTATAAACTTCGTCTGTACAATGAAATACTTTTAATGGTGAATGTTTTCAGTGTCTATGTCCTAGGAATTTTGTTTACTAATTGAAAATTCCAATATCTTTTTCTTGTTCTTTTGGCTTCATTTTGTGATGTATTGTCCGAACCAATTAATTTAATATTATTTCAGATTGCTATGTGGCAATTAAACTTGAGATCCAGTGAAACGATGGAACCTGTCCCCTACCCTGAGCGTCCTGGAGAACCAGACTGTTCTTACTATATCAGGACAGGCCTATGTAGATTTGGGGAAACATGTCATTTTAATCATCCTCCTAACCGAAAGCAGGTATAAATCCAATGTTTTCTTGGGAAATTCTTATTAATTCAGAGTTAATGCTTTACGAGTCAGATATTATCGGTACAATGCAAAAGAGCTTCTTAATTTTTGTTCCTTTTCATTTTACAAGTCTTATTATCATCATCGACTTAAATATAATATTGGAAGTTGAAGTTTAGACATTTCAAACTTTTAAAATTGGCATACTTTGTTTGCTTCTGTCATTTCATTTAAACTTTTGTCCTACTACGAGTTTTGGGCTTTTGCATATCAACTTTCATTTGAAATATTAATTTTGATTATATCAAATTCCAGGCTATTGCTGCTCCAAGGATGAAAGGAGAGTTTCCAGAAAGAGTAGGGCAAGCAGAATGTCAGGCATGTATTTCTTCCTTGGTTTCCCATATAACCACAATGTTTCTGCTTTTACTTGTTCTTTACAATTTTAAATGTATGATATTATGATTAACATGGATTGATAGAGATATTTCTATATAAATTCAACGTGCTGTTTTGGTGAATTCTTATGAATTTGACAGTTGGATCTATTTGCATTGCTTCTCAGAATTTGTTCACATCTTTATGGATGATGCACTAGAATTAAATGAGTGCTCTCTCTTATTTTAAAGTTGTTCATGATGAAACAAGGATTACTTTCAGGTTTAGAGAGAAATCCCACCGGATGTTGAAAACAGGGAACTCATGATTGTGGGTTGAATAGAAAATTTATTCAAAAGAATCGTGTAAGCGATGCAGATTATTGATGATAGAAGTTTCTATTACTTCGGAAATAGGCTTTTCTTCCCTTGTCCCCACTTTCCCTCTAAATATTCTTCTCATAGGCAACTCATAAGACCGTCCTGTCTTGTCTTGATACTAGTTTTAGAAAATAAACAAATAAAGGAACTAAAGAAGATAAATTGAAATCCTGACAGAAGCTACTCTTTTGGCTTTACTGCCTCATATCAGACGTGAGACTTTACATTTCTCATTTTCATGTATGTTTGGATCAGACAACTGACATTTTGCTCTCATCTGCTCTGCAGTACTACCTGAAAACAGGAATTTGCAAATTTGGAGCTACATGCAAGTTTCATCATCCTAGAGACAAAGCTGGGTTAGCTGGGAGAGTTTCCTTAAATTTTTTGGGTTATCCTCTTCGCCTGGTACTGATTTCGTATTTTTCTTTTCCAACGCATAGAAAGTTAATATCAGATGCAAATTTAAGTCAATATTCAAGCCACCTCCTGTCTCATGTTTGTTTGTTACTTTGTTTTCCCAAAACAATAAATCATGATTTCTAATTGCATTAGTTTAGCTAAATGCAAAATTGGTAGCATCCAGTTAAGCTTACCCAATTGTATAGTCAAATTTTCTGAATGTATATCGTTTAGAATTTTAGATCGAATATGAACAATATACACACGTAGAGAATTAGGATCATAAAGTAAAATCTTTCTTGGTTTCTATGACTCAAAGGGAAATCTTTTCTCTTCTGATCAGAGTTATGAATCTGTTTTTTAACTTGAAATATGGATTCCATGGACAAAAATACTACTGAATTTTGGACCATTGCTTGCCTCAAGGTTGAGGTTGAATTATCGTGTAGGGCTGGACCTCATTAAGGAAAGCTGTATTTCTTCAATGATTAGTTTATAACAGGTTTGTTTATGGTTAGTAGTGTTTCAAAGGCTTAATGTAACTTGCTTTCTTTTTTCTACTTTTTCTTTAATATAGAATGAGACTGAGTGTGCATATTATCTAAGAACTGGACAATGCAAGTTTGGGAGCACTTGTAAATTCCACCATCCTCAACCAGCGAATATGATGGTTTCCTTCCGTGGCTCTCCTATTTATCCGACTGTCCCATCTCCAACCACTCCTAGTCAGCAGTCATTTCTAGGAGGGCTTACAAACTGGTCGCGAGCTTCTTTCGTTCCCAGCCCCTGCTGGCAAGGTCCTCCAAGTTATGCCCCTTTGATTTTACCACAAGGGATGGTATCAGTTCCAAATTGGAATGCTTACAGTGTAAGTTTTTCCTGTGCTTATTACTAATGCCGTGTTCACTAAGCATTTCTATTGAGCATTTACATGTGATAAGACAGTACTGTAGGTGAAAAGTGAGTGGTGGGGCAACTTATGACCCTTTTTTTCCCCTGAAAGAATTAGATTTTTCTTATCTTGACTATGGTTGCGTAATACTAATAGTTGTGTGCTTCATTTAATGGAGCTAATGTCAAGACATAGAAACAGTAGTCTTGTGATGCTTTTCAATAACATGAAATTAGACAGGATTGGTTAAGGTAGCCTAGAATTAATTCTGTGGAGGTTGGATAAAGCTTTGGAGATCACAAGCCTACAGTACTGGTGCTATTACCCATGTTGGCAGAGTTGTTTTGCTTTTTGTTGTTCTTGAACTTGTGGCTGGCTGATGATTTGATCAGGCAAGTACAATTTGCTCAAGATTTGGTTGGTATTCTGGAAGAAAGTATCTTGGCATAAAATTTAAACATGACTCGTTTTTTTTTTTATAGAAGTTGGAGGTCTCATTAAAAACTCCCTTCGTATTCTTCCACATACTTATTAGTATGTTGAAGAACATTGGAAGGAAGAAAAGAGTGTCTCATATTTTATTAAATAGAAGACCAAGTACATGTGAGAACACCGAACCCTCATACGGGTATAAACACCATTACAAAAAACCTTATCACCTAAAAATCTTCCATCGTCAAACAAAAAGCCCCTAAGACAGTAACCCAATTTCTAAAATACACCTCAAGAAGCAAAAGAGCATAACAAAATAAAAACCAACATTTACAACCAAAAACTAAAAAAACGCCTCTGAATACAGCTGTTGAACAGTTACGATCTAATTGGAGGGACAATTTCTAATGAAATATCGCAATCTTCAGGGACCCAAGAATTAGGTTTGAAGGAAGGATCAACTTCATGCACCATGATTTTGAATAAATTAGCACCGACCTTCAACTCGAACAACTTATCAATTCTCCCTTGAGCCTTTGTAAGTATTTGAATTTTAGCCCGATCAAAAGATGATGGAAACTCACAACTGTTGTCAATTGCTAATAATTTTCCCCACTTAGTTGCAATGTTTTTGAAAGTATCCCAATTCTAAGCGTGAAAAGGAATACCTTCGCAAACTAACCACACGCGACGGCACTCCACCACTAGGCTCTCTGACCAAGTTTCCACTCTGCAAAACCATTCTGCAAGAGTCTCTAATTTATCATCCTTCACGCTTCTCAACGAATCATAGTCTTCAAAAATCATTAGAACTACATTTCCAACGGCTCTCATTAGCGTGAAACCAACTAGTCCTTTAGCTTGTATTTGGTTAGCAAGATTACCAATTTTGATAAAGTTCTTGCACCACCCCACAAGATAGTTACTCAACACGTGAAGTTTATCTTCGCCTACAACACCCTGAACTTCACAGTGTTTATTCCTCGAAATATCTTTCATCCCAGACTTACGTTGAACAACTGTCGAAGACTTTCTCCAGTAAGAGTGTCGAGGTTTATATTTAGCCAAAGAGACTCTAATTTTGCTGCCGTAAATATGATTACCATTCATCTTTGATATTGCTTTCCTTGCTTCTTTAATTGTTGCATAGCGAATAAACCCAAAACGAACCCCTTTCGAGTTTCTTTTGTTAGGAATGAAGGCATCAATATCTTGACCGTGTGTGCCAAATATAGATCCGAGTCTCTTCCAATGGATCTTTTCTGGAAGGTTTTGGATAAATATCGTGTAACAACTATTTCTGAACCCATCACCGATTTTGGCTGGCCTTCCTTCCACCAATTATGAAACCCATTTTTTCTCCTTCTCGCTACTTCGGAAAACTTTTCATTGGAGTACCCTTTCGTGGTGATCTCCTTGGTTCCATCATGATCAACATCATCGACAGAAAGAGCTGGTGTTGCCTATACTAAAGAAAGCTTTCCAATCCTAAGGTTTTTCTCCTTGTGAAGGAGACAAACCAATTTCATCGATTCTGACAACAAGTGGTTGACAGTCCAATGTTGCTTTAACAGAGCACTTCTTCAAAGGATTGATTGATAATGGACTTTCACCTGACCTCGCTGAATATGTTCCCAAATTTTGCTGATTTTGGGGCATAGGAGAGTGTCTGTAAGTAGTGCCCTCGGGCTCAACTGTCCAACCAAGCTCACGGGGCGGCCAGTACATCGTTCATAGCAGCATGTGGTGGAAGAGGGAAATTACCATATTGCCTCAATCCGGCCAGCATAACTCGCATGTGCCGTTTCCGAATCTTTGTCCTCTCCTTTTCTATCTCCATTTCACATTTTTCCTTACCGGAGTAAGATGAAGTGGTTGCATCGGCGGATCCAGAGGTCTTGAAAAGCCTACCTCGTGCTTTTGCATTCTCCTTCCTTTTTAATTCCTGTTCCCGCTTATTCAAATCAGCCACTTTTACTTTAAGTTCCTTCACTCTCGCTTCTAAATCCTTGGCAGAATCAAGAGGAATATCAACATGACTCAATTTCTTATTGTGTGTAGTAATAGGTTTTATGGTGTAGGACCAAATAGGCATGTAAAACTCTGGGTCACTAGAAACAAACATTTTCTAGTGGTTTAGCACTAATGCCTTGATGATGTATCTAACATTATAACTGTATCAAAATGCCTGAGAGCATACATCTATACTATTTATTTATGTTTACATTTAGTTATGCAGTTACATTACTTGATTCTGTTGGTTGATTTTCTACTTAAATTAGAAGCATCTATGCATTTGTAACTTGCATTTTTTTTATAAGTGCTAACATTTATTCTCCCAACAAAAGGTGAAGTTCTACCATATTTCTAATACTCTTTATTTCTACAGGTTCAATTGGCTTCGGTATCTTCTTCAGAGAACCTGCAGCAGACAAATGGGAATAATCAAATCTATGGGACCTCACGACCAAATGAATCGGTGACTCCAGGATCTCAAGCATCCTTTTCCCAATTTCGTTCTGGCTCTGCCCCTGTAGGTTTTTATGCATTGCAGAGGGAGAATGTATTTCCCGAGAGACCTGGTCAGCCTGAGTGCCAATTTTACATGAAGACTGAAGATTGTAAATTTGGTGCAGTATGTAGGTTTCATCATCCAAGAGAAAGAGTTCTTCCCGCCCCTGATTGCATGTTGAGTCCTATTGGCCTTCCTTTACGTCCGGTGAGTTACATAAACTACCATTTACTTGCATGACCTTTTCTTCATGAAAACCTTGTCTTCCTAATTGTTGGGTTGTATTTGTAGCTCAAACGGATATTTCCCTTGATACTCTATCTGGGAAATTGACCATTTTGTCGTTTCTACACTTTTTTTTTGTAAGTAGAGTAGAAGGAATTAACGTGTAATCAAATTGGATATTTAGGACAAAGGATGACTTCCTTGCATGTTTATTGGGTTTAGCAAATAAGGATTTTAGGAATTATGTTGTGGATAAAATGGTCAAAGGATATCTGGTTGAGTCTTGATTGTGAAAGGTGCTGCAATCTAGAATTAGGTCACTGCAATTTCCGCAGCTATTGTACTAATACGATTGTATTGGCACACTGAAGATGGGAAGTGTTTTTGCAATCAATTCTAGGAGTTTATGGTTTAGAGGATAAGCGAAATCATTCTAGCTCTGCAGAGTTCTGAGAGCAACATGAGGACTCTGCCCTGATTCATGTAAAATAAATAAAATATTATTGTGATAAAGCTATTTTGAATTAAATTTTCGTGATGCAGTAAAGAGTCATGGAGGATAAAGCATTCGTGTAGGAGATTTTGTTTTTTCTATAATATATATATATATATATATATATATATCTAAGTTCAAATTTGGGTTTAGTTATGTGGGTGTTTCATTATGCTAATTTGAGCAAGTTTTACATGCTTTAATGTAGAGATTCAATTCTCTTTCTCTGGTTTCCCTTTTCCATCCTCTCTCTCTCTCTCTCGCACTCGTGTGTAATCTCTTGTTTTGCCTCTTATCCTGCATCAATTAACATCTTGTACCGTTTGAAAATTTATATTACTTAATAGATCTGTTTAAGTGTTTTATCTCACATCTGTTAAATCTTGATCTCATTTTTTTTCTGTTAACTTTATATTCAAGTTGAAGTCTTCCATATATTAGATCTCAGGTGTATTTTGTTCTCATGCTTTCTACCCCATGTGATGTTTTCACAGGTAAGCCTTGTATTGAGCTTGCATATGAGGAGAGTGTTAAGTAGCGGTATCTCATTTCTATTAAATATCGGATTTCCTATGATCTTGTATTCAAGTTAGGTCTCTACCTTGGTTCCAGTTGATTTTAGGTTTGATGTTTAGCAAAGTAAACTAGATTTAGGTTTATCACTTTATCTTGTTTAAATGTTTACAAAAATAAATCTGGATTTGGCCTTTGTTTATATACAGAATAAAAACTATAGCAGTAGCATGTATATTTATATATATAAAAAATATAATGTATGTATGTATGTATGTATAAGAGTAGTTTAATCTATTTTAAATAATTGTTCTTTTAGCAACTACGAAAGCGCAAACTAAATGGATTGTGTTAAAAAAAAGCTAGTTAAAAGGGCCACAAAAACTAACCACGTGCAGTTATGACTTACCTATATTCTTCTTCTTGTCATTTCAGTCACCTACAAAAGTTTGTCCAAATCATGAAATTTTCCCTTTTTCTTTTTGACTGAAACCAGTGAAGAAAATCTAAAAGAAGGGTGCAGTGTAAAACAAAAACTAGGGTTGCAATGAAGATGGTTTCATATCCTTTTAATCTTCATTCTTATTTTTTTCCTTTTTTTCCTTTTTTTCTTGTCCTCAATCCTTTCACTTTATCTTCTAAGACCAAAGTGTTTCCCTCATATACCTCATTTATGTTGGCCTCCTGTACTTTTTGTCAATAGGTTTTAGGTTAATTGGTTAAGGCTTGATGTTCAACATGTTAGCTGATCCAAGGTACATTTTGTTCTTCTTGTTTGTTACCCCATGTGAGGTTGTGCCACATGCGAGGGTACTGTTGTCAATAGGTTTTAGGTTAATTGGTTAAGGTTTGATGTTGAACATGTTATCTTATCCAAGGTACAGATTGTTCTTGCTTGTTACCCCATGTGAGGTTGTCTGTATAGGCCCTTGTTTTGCCACTTGCGAGGATAGTGTTACGTGGTGTTATGCTCAAATTATTAGATCTTGGATTTCTTGTGATTTTATATTCAAGTTGGCCCCCCTTCGAGTTATTGTCAATTGGTTTTATGTTAATGCTTAATATTCTTAAATTGGAAAACTGAGGCTGTTTGGACTGTTGTGTCCTGTTTTGTTTGTAACTGTTTGGGTTGTACTAAACTGGGTTATTTTATTTGTCAAATTAATAAAACTTGAGGTACTCTTTTCCTCTTTCCGCTGGTTGCTAGGCTATCGGTTGGTATTCTAGCAATTAAGAAGGGGGGTTTTAACGAGACCTCCAATTCTTATCAAAAAAAAAAAAAACAGGTAACATGGTACTCAAGTATTCATATTGGCATGTGTCTACTAGTCTGACCCATCTTTTGCATAAATTTTTAGACTGGCAGAGTCAGCCTAAAAGAACCCATAAATTAGATAGGGATGTGTGGATGCGTCTTTATAACAATATTTTGATAGAGATAAATAAATGTAAATTAGGTAAAACCATATATAAATATGTTTATTAACTTCTATACATATTCATATAGTTTTATATAAATTATTCACTTTTAATACATTTTTCTTGATTTAATCAATTTTACTCGAGAAATGTTTTATATTGTTATATTCATATTTTTAAAAAAAATATTTTTTTCAATTAATTATTTTTTTTTTTGCTGAAATACTCATTCTTTAATAACCATAGGTTCTGTGTGGATGCTAATATTAGCTAGTACAAATTTTCCTACTGCTGCAAACAACTTTACATCCTTATTTCTATTTTTTACCACACCAGTTCAAACAATAAAGAGAATTGATGGTGTTGCTCAAGAGAAGTTGAGTATTGAGGATACTGAGATTAAAAGAGGAAAGCCAAGAGTGGGTGAGAGAGTAAATATATGAATCAAAACACATAAATGGTAGACTAAACTTCTTTTTCCTCCAATTTTTGTAGTCACAAGACCTGTGCTGACTTGTGTGGCGAAGTATTCACTTCTATAATGAAGTTTCAGACACATTCAATATTCTATCCTACCGATGAAAAGTTGGACACGAGTATGACAATCATTATTGAGTGGGGTCCATGTAGCAAAGTGTACAAGTTTTTGGAATTCAATTTTTGTGTACTTTTATAGTATTTTTGAAATGTAAAATGTGTTCATGCATTATCCGATATTCAAGCCTACTCTGCTTGTTCAAAGTTTGGATGAAAGGGGATTAGGTGTTTGGATACATATTTGTACTAGATACCCCTGTGAGTGTACAAATGTTAGAAGGTTATCTTTCAAGTTTACTTCATTTTATTCTTCATTATTGTGTCCTGAATTTTTGTGGCAGAGAGGTTTACCTTGTGCACACTTTTTGAAGCTTTCATGTTGTTTGGATTATATGTTCGTTTGTAGATTTTTACTATTTTGAATTTCTTATTTTAATTGTTATTTACCAAGAAAATGTTTTGCGTATCCATTGCGCATACTCATTCTGGTCTGAGGTTTGCTATAGTTCTTGTCAGATTGCCGTCCTTGCAGTGTTCCCATTCTGGTTTGAGCTGGTTAAGTGTTTGCCAGTTTGTCTTCTTGCAATATTTCCATTTATTTTATGGTGCTTGTGTATAATTCACAGTGAGAGGTTCTGTACTGTGTTCAGATGTTCTTTTATGGTGTCTGTAGTTTTATTCTTTTGTTACTTGATACTTTTTGCATTATTGATTGCTACTTTTGCATTCTAACAGGGAGAACCTCTATGCATTTTCTATTCTCAATATGGAATTTGCAAGTTTGGTCCAAGTTGCAAGTTTAACCATCCTATGGAAGTTTTCACATTCAATTACTCTGCATCATCTCCATATGATGCCCCAGTTAACCGTTTCTTAGGATCTTCTTCGGGAACTGCTGGGTTAAACCTTTCATCAGAGGGGCTTGTTGAAGCAGGCTTCACAAAGTCCAGACGACTTTCACTGTCAGAGAATAGACAATTGTCTTCCAGTGATGACAGTATTGATACAGAGGGATAAACAATGCAAAAAGATATGTGCTGATTAAATTTGACAATCTTTTGGTGGATGAGGAAGAGTTATCTGTAAATTCATTTCCCATTGTTGGAGATGTACAGAGTTCATGTTATGTTGGTTCTGTTCTTTTAAAATATATGCAATTCAGTTGACAGTTGCATCTTCTGAATTTCACATTCCTGCATTGTATAAATCTGAAACTGATGTCACATTCGGAAAACCCATTGTGTACAAGGTATTTCTTTTGCAACTTTTAAGCATCTGACTAATTTTCTTGTGAATCTTCATCTACCACCAGGCTTTGGATTCAAAAAATGGTTTAGTAATTATCTGCCACCCTGCTTGGTTTTTACACCGTAGCTGCACCATTCACATCTGCAGACATTTCTTAATACATAAGCCTTGTTTAATGAGGTGGCAGTTACTGTGTTCCCCAATATTGAACAATGTTGAGTGATTTTCTTAAATGATTCGCTCAAGATGAATTGGTTAGTCAATCTGCCTGAATCTCATGTTTTATTGGATTAGTTTGTATTGACCAAGCACCATGATCTGCTCTGTTCCTTGCAGGAGGCTTCTGAGAATGATTAAGAGTCATCTTCAGAATATTTCTCAATAAAAGATTCCAGGTACAAGGAATGTGGTGTTTTTATTCTTATTGTTTATGAAATAAATTGTGTAATTAGTGGATAGTTTAAGATGTAGGAAGGTTTTACCATCTTATGTTTTTTCTTTTTGAATAGTCTGGTGTGATTACAAGGTAGCTGGCGCAGCTACTCAAACCTAAGATCTCTAGAGAGAATAACACTTCTTTTAACCATTGAGGTCACTTGATGGGTTCACCGTCTTATGTTTTGGGGTGTAGTAGTTTGTGGGTAATGTGGCATTAATGACCAAGTGATTCAATGTCCGTCTGCAGCTGAAAAAAATGTAATGGCTTTGTTGTGGCATATAGAACTAGTTACTAGGCGGAAGGGGATTGTTATGTGTTTTGATATTGAATGTTTTATAAAATGAAGTTGAGAAATCAAAATCTAAGCTTATGATCTTAAGAGGAACAGCTATTGTATTTCATTGTAATTTAACCGGAACTCATTCTGCTTGTCCTTTGTTAGGTGGATCTTTCTTTATTCAATATTTATGGATTTATAAAGCACTTTACTTTTTTATTTTTTATTTTTTTTAGAAATAATCGAAGAGTTTTTTTAGATTTGTAAATCAGGACACCATTTTAGATCCTCCTCTAAATTCATGTGCATGAGTTGTGGTAGCTGGTTTATTAAGGAAAATGAGAATCATGGAGAGGGAAGAAGGTTTGAGTGAATCATTTGGGTGTTTTACTTGGTGGTTTTGTTGTACCTGATTTGATTAGTTTAGTTAGTCGTAATTTAGGGTTTAGGTTTAAGGTATGGTGTAATTTAATGGTTTAATTTAGCTAAATTATAATTTGGGATTCAATTAGTTAAGATGAATTAGGGTTTAATATTCAATTAGATATATTATAATTTAAGGTTTATGATTTAATTTCAATATAAATTATTGATTCTATCATCCTATTTTGTGTACTTCATTATTATATATGGTAATTTTAATATAATTTACCTATACAAAAAATTAATGAGGTCAATTCAAGTGGTAAACAATTTGATATTGCTTAAGTAGGTCTCGAGTTCGAGTTCTTGTATATGTAGAAAATCCTCACTAAGAGATTCACCCACTAAAGCCATGTGTATAGAACTAGGGTTTGTACATTCTACCATTTTTCTCAAAAAGATCAAAATGTTATATTCAATGCAAAGATGTATAATGCATATACAAAAATAATCACAAACAAAATAAAAATATTGTTTCTGCCAACCATAGAAACAATCTATCAATGGTAGTATCCTTAAGCTATACAACAAAAAATGACACTTAAAATATATACCAAAAGAGTTAATTTAATAATGTTACCCTAAATCTATACTAAGAAAATGGAATTTAAAATTGTAAAGATCTAAAATGTTTGAAATTCATTAGTGGTAAATCATCTTGATCTCCAATTTGAATTTTCTAACTAAGCCTTGTAGGTTAGATAGTTAAATTGAATGATTAATAATATATGTATGTGTTTATTTTATTTACAAAATTTATGTTAAACTTCTAAGGTTATTCGTTTCTAAAAGGATAAAAATCTTATTCTTTAGCATCTTCTACTTTTATTACAATTTTAAATTAAATTTAAATTTTATTTGTTTGTTAAAAACTATATAGGTTTTTTATATATGGCATTTGAAGAGTTGGGATGTAATGCCTCAGATTTTAGGTCAATGATCTTGAGTTGACTCGGTGGTTATGGATGAACAAAGTAGGCTATTAGAAATTGTTGGGCCAAGATTGAGCTTGATTGGGCTAGAATTGAGCTCAGATAGCTATAAAAGGGTATTTTTAAAATGAGTTCCAAGGAGGAAATACCAAGGAGGTAATTAACTCCTAAAGTATTTTAAAGGCTAATTTTCATTTACATGAGATGAAGTAACCAGACACAATATTAAGGAAAAGCTGATCCCTTCTTCCTCATTTTCCCTTAAACCTTATATTCATCTCCATCTCATTTCTCTCATTTATTCCTCTTGCAAAACCATTAAAGGTGAGACTTTTATTCCTCTACATTCTTAGTCTAACTTTCAAAAGGTAAGGAGAATAACCATCACCTCTAGATTTTCTATTCAAACCCTTTTTCTCAACGTCTAGCCATAGTGGCCATGGTGGGGGTTCTAGAAGGGTTTTGAGTTCTAGCACTTTAGGATGATTCTAACTCATTTCTAGTGTTGAGAAATCATATTTCTACTTCCCTTAAGTTCTTAGATGAGTTAATAACTCATTCATTGCTATGTGATTAGTGAAAGAAGTGGGAGAAAGCTATAATGGCAAGAACAAAGAGAACCTTGTGCTTGGGTGAGCTTGAGGTCGTTTCTAGTAGCTAGGAGTAAACTAACACACTTCTAACTAGCTTGTACCACTTGTAAAATGTCCTATATGTATGTCTTGCTTGTACATGAAGCGTATAAGTGCATTATTGTCTTGTAAATGGTTTTGGATGAATGTGAGATAATTTATGCATGAAAATGACATATTATAATCCACTTAAACTTCTATAATTTTTAAATAACACTTGAGGGCCTTAGAAGGGCTTTGGGGACATGTAGGAACGAAACTCTCATGATAAATAGGGCATTTCTGGGTTGAGGTATTGATATTGGATGAATAATATCGATACTAGTTCATGTAATATCGATATTGTTCCCTGAGCCTCGATATTGAAGGTATGGTATCAGTATCGGGGTTTAAACTTTAGATCCTAGTAGTCAAATTTGGTACTGATACTTCGGGGTAATATCGATACTCTAGGTAAGGGTATTGACACTGAGAATGAATTTTCCAAACATCAAATGCGAATTTGGTACAAATACTCGGGGTAGTATTGATACTCTAGGTAAGGGTATCAATATTGAGGATTAATTTTCCAAACATTGAATACAAATTTGGTACCTATACTCAGGGTAGTATCGGTACCACCAAAGGGTAATATGGATACTTTGTATGAGAGTATTGATACTAAAGAGTTATCCAAAATGTCGAAGGTAAAAAAGGTATCGATACTCAAGGTGAGTATTGATACTCTAAAGTTTGTACCAATACCCAGGGCAAGGTATCAATACTATTGGGAAAGATAAGGGCTATGGGCTTTGTCTTGCTAAAAGACTCAAGAGAGGAGTCTAAGGACGTTGAAACTTACTAATAAAAGCTTGCAAGTGAAAACATCGAATAAATTGTATGTAATGCATAAGAAGATGATGAGGTAAGATTTTATAATACTTATGCCTTTGTTTGATGCTCGAAAAACAATCACTACACTTTAGTTACTTATTTGTTTGACAGTCGTCTATTGTTGTGGGGAATATCCTGATATATCCAATTTAGTGTTAGGGCACTTTAAATGCTAATTGGATGTTTCTCTGATGTTCTGTGACCTAGACACGTCCCATGTACTTGAGAATAGTAGACTATCCGGGATAAGATACTAATATTTCGTGACCAAAATCTCACCCTAGGTACATGGCGGTGAGTGTCTTTTGAATGTAAGATGATGACGTTGTGTGATCCAGTTCTTATCAAAAGTACCTTTATTGTAATATAAAGAGGTGTGAGTCTCGTGATGTTGATGTAACCCTAGACTACAACATGATGCGTACTTGTGATTATATGCTTAGTGCATTTATATTTTTCATGACTTTGCCTGCTAGAATGCTCACTTGATGAATGTATGTAGTATAATATAGTTATTTGAGTGGAACTAAGCTTGTGAGCTCAGCGTTCAGAATGTGTTTTCTTTTGTAGGTTCTTAGGTGAAAATTCGAGCTTATCTTTGGATTGTGGTTTCCAAATTGGTTTGACCTATCAGAGTACATATTGAGTATTTTAGTGGACATTTATTATTTGTTGAAAACATTTTGATATTTTGATATAACAAATTAAGTGTTATTGAATTTTAAGATTTTACAATTATTTTCAAAGTATATTCGAGTCAATTATCCGAATATCAAAAATATTACTCTAAGTTTTTCAAAGGTCAATTTCAATCCTTACTAAAGTGTAAAATTGTGTTTTAAACTTAAAAGATTTTTTAAACAATTTTTACAAAGTATTTCGAACCAAAATCGAGCCAAAAATCAAATTTATAAAGTGATGTACCGATTCACTCTATGATGTATCGATGCACACCCTAATTCGAATGCATTTTGTGTATAGTGCACATCCATGCATCGATGCACTCCTGATTTTATTGAAACATCGAATGCATTTTATGTACTAATGCATAGACCATGCATCGATGCACTCCTGGCTCTTTTGAAACATCGAATGTAATTAGTGTAGCGATGCACCCCAAGTGTACCAATGCACTAGGTCTTATAAGGGTCGAAATACTTGAATTTTACATATAGTGTACCGATGCACTATTGAGAGTGTATCGATGCACCCATGCTCCCACCAGATTTTTAAATGATAATTACTCAATAATGAATCTATTGATTTCACCAATGATCTCCAACGTTCAGAAGTGATCCAAGGTGTATTTAAACAAGCTTAGGAGCCATTGATCAATAAGAATTATGAGAGAAACCAAGAGAAAGCCTTAAACATCATGTTTGAGCAATTCAAGCCTATTATCATTCAATATTCATTTTTGCTTTCAATAACACTACT